TCCTTCCATTTTTGAATGCCATCAGCTATTCTTTTAACGGACTCTGCGAGACCGCAATGTGCACAGCTGACCACGCAGTTTTTTGCTACCAATAACATGCAAGCCCTTTCTAGGCTACCCCTGTCTACAGACACTAGTCCGATTGAGCAACTGTGAGATGAGCTGCAAAGACGTGTTTGTCGCCGAAACGTTGCTCTAGCCAATGGACGTAATCTGTTCCAGGCACTCCATGAAGAGTGGGCAGCCATTTCACAGGCCCACATCAGACATCTGATTGCATCCATGCCAAGAGATGCCAGTCACTGATCTATGCAAGAGGAGGCCACACGCCATACTAACGGGAAAGACCTACGCTTAACACCTATCGTGACCCAGATGCAAAAAAAAAAAAAATAAAAGGTGTCAATTGATCGGTAGAACCCTAAGGTATTTGTGTGTGAAAATTGAATAATTGTACTTCCTACATTACAAAGATGCAGAATGTTAAAATTATGAGTATGTTTGTTCCTTTCAATAACTATGCCTTTTTTTTTTTTTTTTTTTTTTTGCACTATATAGTAGAGGCCGTGCGACACGACGAAGCATGAATGGGATTGGAAGTCACTCTTTTCTTTTCCCTGAATCAAAACGTCACTTTTACCGAAACTGGAATTAACGGCCCCTTACGTTTTGATTATTAAAGGACAATGGGTCTTCTTCAACCCCCCCCCCCCACACACACACACACACACACCAGGCACCACCTTTTTTTCAATCCTAATAGAAACACTAAACTCAGACGGGACAAACATTTATTTAGGTTTCCTAGTGCAGATGAACTGGCCTTGTTTCAGTTCTCTCTTGCTCGACACTCTAGTTATGTACATTTGGACACACTATTAGGTGTCAGTAATATTATACCGACATTCAAGAAACAGGAACAGGTACACTTTGTGAACTGCGTACCCTGTTTTTACAGGACTGTTTACAGAGATGACAATGATTGTGAGGTAAGGTGGTTTCTCTTTTGCTGAGTCATTACCACAAGTGCAAACATTAAGAGGTCAGGTTAAAATATAAACTCATGTGGTTGACATACATAAAATTAAGTTGGCGATGCAGAGGATGATAAAAAGATACAGGAAAATAGGCACACTGTGAGATGATAGAAATTTACAAGAAAATTAGCAACATGTTATTATGGGGGTTTCAGTAGGTTTTCAATAGGGGTGGGGTAGACTTTTAAAAAAAGTCAGAAATATACAGAGAATTTTGGGGAGGAGGGGGGGGGGTGGGAAATGGGGGAAGGAGATGTCCAAGCAGGGGAAACATTGATTGCAAACAAAATAAGTTGTAGATTTAGAAACTCTGTGTAATGTTAAAAGTCATACTACTATTAGCGAGACAAATGTTAGACCTTTAACAGTTTGGGATCGGTTCATAAAGAAGTGTAAAGTTCAGTTTGTTCCCACACAACAGCGATCCCATATTGTAGAGCAATACTCTAATTATATCTGATTGTTAGAAATACATAGTATCTTTTGTGTGTGTATTTTCTTCAAGAAAGGTTTTAATTTGTGCAAGCCGTTAAACCTTTTTGGCTGTTTTTACACAGGTGAGTGCACATGAGAGTTGAAGGTTAGATTTGCTTAAATGACCAACCCCAGTACTTTTTGCTCAGTTGCACTGTCCATTGGAGTCCTCACAATGTAGAGTTGAAGTGCTCTCTGTGAATTTATACAATGTAGTTTTTGTCTGGTCGTTATTAGCATAGAATCTGTTTTTATAAATGTTTATTTGCATAAGGTTTGCACTGCACCATCTGACTACATTATTGTTGTTTTGACGACTCTAGTGCATTACAAGTCTGAACATTTATTCAGATGGTAGTCGTCTGCGAATAAAGAGCTGGACGAGGACAAGCATAAAGGGAAGATCATTTATGTAAATACAAAATAACAGAGGGCCAAGAATCTAGCCTTGAGGTACCCATTATTTACGGAAGTGGTCAACTTCTTCTTCTTCTTCTTCACTTCCTCTTTTACCGCTGTGGGTGTCGAGGGAGATATAAGGTTCTGTTTCTAGCTCTTCTGGCTGCCTCGACCATAGGCACATCGTGCTGTTGTAGAGTTTCTCTGATGTTATCCTTCCATCTTGTTCTTGGTCTACCCCGTGCTCTACGTCCTTCTTCTCTTCCCATGTATGCTTTGTATGGTATGGTGTCACAAGGCATTCTCTCTAAGTGGGCAAACCATTTCACTTGCTGTCTTTGTATGTAATCCAGAATTGGTTCTGTGCCGACTTGTTCTCTTATGATCTCATTTCTGATCTTATCTCTTATGGTCACTCCTACAGCCCTTCTCAGACATCTCATTTTCCGTGGTTACTAATTTTTTTTTATGGTTTGTTTGTGAGTGACCATGTCTGGCACTGGTAGCACAGAGTTGGAATAAATATGCTTTGAATAAGATGTCTCTTTGTGCTGATTGGGATTGTCTTATGCTGTAAGAGGGGGGCTAGCTGTCCCAATACTTGGTTTGCTTTACTGCACCTAATGTCAATTTCTTTATCCAATTTCCCATCTTCGGTAAATGTAGTTCCCAGATATTTAAACTCAGATGCCTGTTTAATGCCTTTGTATTCTATTGTTATGTTTAGATCTGTCTTCTTTTTTCCTATTGACATTACTTCTGTCTTTTCAGTGTTGATTCTCATATTATTTGTTTTACATTCTTCATTCATGGATGTTAGATGTTGTTGCAATTTCATGGCTGTATCTGCTATCAAGGCCTGGTCATCTGCAAAGAGTAATTCGTTGATCTTACTAAGATCTTCATTCATGGGCTTGGCATTCTTGCATATACTGTCGATGTAGGTGATAAACAGCAGTGGTGATAAGACACACCCCTGTCTTACTCCAGATGTCACTGTGAAATGATGAGATGTTCCCTGATTTATTCTAACTACACTTCTACAATCCCTGTATAAACTTTTGCACACTTCGATGAGGTGTTCGCTTACTCCATACCTTGCCATTATTTTCCATAATAATTGTCTGTCGACTCTGTCAAAATGCCTTCTCCTGTCTACGAAAGCCACAAATAAGTTCTTATTGTATTCAATGTTCTTTTCTATTAACTGTTTAAGTGTGAAGATTGCATCTGTGCAGCTTCTATTTCTCCTAAATCCCATCTGTTCTTCTGCCAGCTGTGGTTCTATCACTGGTCTCAGTCTTGTTTCTATTATCTTGGCATACATTTTGCCAACATGGCTTAAAAGAGATATGCCTCGATATTGACCGCATTTTCGTTTGCTTCCTTTGTTCTTCCACAATGGTATAACTATTGCATGTTGCCAATCAATAGGGGCCGTTTGTTGTACCCATGCTGCATTGAATATTCTGTGAAGCCATCTGATGCTGCTTTCACCTGCTGCTTGAATTATTTCTGTTGGTAATCTATCAGGTCCTGGTGCTTTATATTTGGGAGACTGTTTAATGACTTTTTCTATTTCATCCATTAGTATGTGTGGTTGTAACACTGTTGCTCTGTGCTCTTCAGTTGTTCTTTCCTGCTGATCTCCTAGAGGATTAAAGCGCTCATTGAAGTATTCCCTCCATCTTTCTGCAATCTCGGGTGGATCTATCAATGGCCTTCCTGTCTTATCATTAATTATTTCAGTGGGGTTGTAGCTCTCATCTCTTTTCCGCATATTTTTAACCACTTTGAAAAATTTTCTGCTGGCTGTTTTCTCATTTTCAGCTAGTGACTCACCGAAACGTTCCCAGGATGCTTGTTTTGCTTTCTTGACACTCCTGTTGGTTTCTCTCCTTTGCAGTCTATAGTTTATATAATCTTCTTCTTTCTTTGATTTTATCCACTGTTTATATAAGTCTTTTTTCTTTTTAATTGCTTCTTTTACTTCTTCGCACCACCAAGGTGAATATTTGTTATTTCCCCGTCTGTTTCCACTCTTCCGTTTTTCCACATAATTCTTCTGCAATACTAAGCATAGTGTTTTTATATATACTCCATTCTTTCTCAATATTGCCAACTACATGTGGAAGTTGTTTGAATGCTGTCTCTACTTTCTGTTGTAACTGTTCTTTTACTCCTTTCTGTTTCAGATTTGCTATCTTGATGAGATCCTTGTTTTTGTTTAATTTCTTTCTGTGTTTCTTTAATGTAAGATGTTTTGCTGTTAACACAACTATTTTATGGTCAGTGTCACATAGACCATTAGGGATTGCTCTTGAATCAAGAATTCTCCTTCTTCCTTGAACTCTGGTAAGTATAAAGTCAATCTGGCTCTTGATGGAGATATCATTCCATTTGTACCAAGTGTAAAGTTGTGAATCTCTATGGTCAAAGAATGTGTTCGTAATAAAAAGATTGTGCTGGCTGCATAGATCCAATATTCTTTGACCATTTCCATTTCTAGCACTGTTCTTAGCTGCATATGGACCTAAAAATTGTTCGTATTCTCTTCTGTTATTTCCTACCCTCCCGTTGGAGTCACCCATTACATATAGTATGCTGTTTCCCTCAACTTTCTTTATCTCATCAGACAGATCGTCAAAGAATTCATCTTTCTGCTCTTCTGTATAATTATCATTGCATGGTGCATATATCTGTATATATGTTTCAGCTTGTTCTCCTCTTTTAATTTTCAAAGTAATAATTCTATCTGAGTGATAATGTATGTCTAATATGTAGTTAGATATGTCTGGATGTACCAGGAAACCCACTCCATTCTTCGATGTTTCTTCTCCTGCATATGTTAGTAAGTAGCCTCTGTGTATTTTCTTATTAATATTTCGTGGTCAACGATAGGGATTTATCATATAAGATTATTTTTCTATATAACAAACTGAATTTTTAAACTTGAAAAGACTAGGGTTGAATTTCATCGTTTGAGATCTTCTGATACATGCACCCTGGAACGTTTGGCTGTTGTTTTTAGTCATCCTGTACATAAAAAGGTGCATCTTGTAATCAATGCTTATGAATTATGTCTACTTGTTAAACGCTTGTGTTGTATTTAGGATTCTCTGTGCTTAAAGATACTTTATTGTTAATAATGGTTTCTTCATTATCATTCTTGTCAAAAATTATCGTATGCGACATAATGTCTCTGTATGGTTGAAACACAAACTTTTTAGAACATAATGCATATAACAAGGCTATTGCAAAAAGAACTATCACTATCACTCTCAGACCAGTGGATATTGCGGTATACTGAAAACGGAAAAGTTCTATATCATAGAGACTGCAAGCTCCTGCAGTCGAACACGTCATCTTCCATATCTTGCAGGTTGAATCCACAAGAGCACCATATATCACAGGGCCCGGAAACCAGCCTGTAAAAGAGAAGAAGAGGTAGACTTAACAATTGCATGCAACGAGGTCAACGAATGAGAAAACGTCAATATAATCACCTGAACTGTAATACATCTTTGTCATCAGAGGTTGACAAACACACACAACAATGAATGTGTGTTCAGGGGCCTTATTTTATGTTAAAAGGACAAAGCATTGAAAATTATTTCGTGAGAGACGAGTAATTAGGGGTGTTTTCTTTAAATTTTTTTTTTCTTTGAAGTTGGAGTGCATCTGCCCTAGAGGAGAGGAACATGCAATATGCAAATGAATAGTTAGGTTAGTTGTGTATCCTTTACAGGACGTTGCAGAACCAACCTGTAAAACGAATGTGCATATACAACTCAACTTTTGGAACAGAAATAAAGTCCAGAAGTTGGTAAACAGGTCAAAATTCCGCTGGAGTTTGCAGGTCAACGTAAAGTAGAAGAAGAAGAACCATTTTAAATCAATGAGTGACGAAACCAAAAGCTGAGAGATGATGTTGGAGAAGAATGTTTAAATGTCTTGAAGCGTCACAGTTAGTATTTCAAATTTGTTTGCAAGATATTAGAAAATGGAGGTAACTTATCACAAGGAGAAGAAAGAGGCAGAAATGCCTACATCATAAGAGAGAAAATGTATATTAGAACCGGAAAGATTAGTGAAAGGAGGGTAAGGAAAAAGCAAAGCGACATTATTACTGACAGTCTCTTTTCGAGGTGTGGATGGATGCCAACACATTAACGGATAGATGCAAGATGTGGAGAAAGTGAATCATCACGCCATTCTAAGTAGTTACTCAGAGTAATAGTGTCTGAATAATTGTGTCCTCATGTGCCTGGTCTCAGCTACCATTAGTAATTGCCTAGGTCCATGGTGCTAGTGGGGAAAAAAACAAGATGAAATATTCGCAATTTGTAGCAGCAGACATCCGGTGAGCATAAGCTACAAATAATTGTCTCCACTGCATGTGGTTAGCACTAGCTCTTTTGACGACGATCTAATTGTAGGACATGGCTCTAAAGACCGACAACTGCGGATGATTTGGCTAGTACTGTCTTCACGAAGTGCGCAGGTACACGACTGTATTTGTGTTGTTATTATTTATCCCCATTGCCTGCATTAGACAGACAAGGTCCATCACCATATCTAAGATACGAAGACAAGTCTCCAGTATGAGATTTCCTGTTCTAAAAGCTCAGACAGCTGTCCATTGCACATCGTATACCTGTACCCGTACCAACAATATTCACTTACCTAATAACGATGAAATAAACGTGGTTAGTCCTATGGCTAGTGGCTTCTCTTCTTCTGTTACTGACCTGTGTGTTTAGAAATCAAAGAACGAATCATTCAATCAAACAACAGTTCACGTAAGGACGTCACTCACTTTGAGACAATCATTCAATCAAACAACAGTTCTCGATATGACGTCACTCACTTTGAGAAAATCATAAGCACTCTCTCCCTTACTTGTTACCCTTTTACTTTCACTAGTGGTGTCTGATTGAAACTCCGCCTCATATTTCCCTAAATCTTGAAAATATTTCGTACGAACTGTTCATTTTTTTTTTTAAATTGAATCTCTTCAAGTAAGAAAACTCACTCTGTCTTGGCGCATTGTTTATCTGATCCCAAGATGAGTCATGTCTGCTTTATCATAAAGTAGATTGTCGTCCAGATGAGCGACATCAGCTAATCTATCCTTACGTGTAGCTTATCTGCATGTTAAGTCCTTACATGTCACATAGACAGAGGCAGGTCCGTGTGTTGTAAACCAAGTACACATGTTTAAAACACGACACAGTCTTCGGGCTACTTTTGTCTACATTGTTTTCGCTTTTTTAACGACCTGCATATTAGACACAAATTGTTGCTTTTTTTTTGTGTTTCTTTTTAAATTCAAAGTCATGCACACCTAGGACATAAGTGATTTCCAATCAGACCATCATCATCATCATCATCATCGTCATCTTCTTCTTCTTCTTCTTCTTCTTCTTCTTCTTCTTCTTCTTCTTCTTCTTCTTCTTCTTCTTTCTTCTTCTTCTTCTTCTTCTTCTTCTTCTTCTTCTTCTTCTTCTTCTTCTTCTTCTTCTTCTTCTTCTTCTTCTTCTTCTTCTTCTTCTTCTTCTTCTTCTCTTCTTCTTCTTCTTCTTCTTCTTCTTCTCTTCTTCTTCTTCTTCTTCTTCTTCTTCTTCTTCTTCTTTCTTCTTCTTCTTCTTCTTCTTCTTCTTCTTCTTCTTCTTCTTCTTCTTCTTCTTCTTCTTCTTCTTCTTCTTCTCTCTCTTCTTCTTCTTCTTCTTCTTCTTCTTCTTCTTCTTCTTCTTCTTCTTCTTCTTCTTCTTCTTCTTCTTCTTCTTCTTCTTCTTCTTCTTCTTCTTCTTCTTCTTCTTCTTCTTCTTCTTCTTCTTCTTCTTCTTCTTCTTCTTCTTCTTCTTCTTCTTCTTCTTCTTCTTCTTCTTTTTCTTCTTCTTCTTCTTCTTCTTCTTCTTCTTATTCTCCTCCACCTGTTCTTCTTTTTTTTCTTGTACATTTGATTCTTCATTTAGTTACATTTTGGGAAGTATTCGGGAGGATGGGTGATTAGAATTAAAAAGTAAGGGCAGCTTGCTAGACATTAACTTAACAAAAAAAAAAAAACCTGTCTGGTGCACGCTAGTGATGGTGGTTTACAGTTGTCTTTAAAGTGCATTCAACAAATATTCGTGACTTTCGTTTTCTGAGAAAATAAGTGATGACTGAAAAACCACATAAACAATTCGTATAGTGTGTGTCTAAGGAGAAAATAGACTTCTTTTTTTTGTTTTTGATTTATTTTCGTCTCACTGTCACCAGGCTGTAGCCGAGTGTCCTAGTTTTCTGTAGTTGTCTTGTGCTTCTTGTGTAGTTTGGGTTTTGTTCGTCCTATTTACCAGTTTTAGCTGCACTATTGTTACATCTCTTTCTTGCTCCTTTCCTCGACTTCCTCGCAGATGTTCTGTTGTAGAAATTCTATTATGCACTTTGGTCTGGACGCATTCTCGCTAGATGACCCGAAACATTTCATTCTTTGTCTGTCAATATAACCCAGACATGGTCTTTTTTAGCTTGATCTCAAATGCTGGTGTTCATACAACTGTCCCTTACGGAGTGACCTTACAGAGACTGCGCATTTCACATGATGTTGTTTTCTGTTCTAGTGCCTTATTCACTGCATTTTAGAAACATGAGCTGATGGCATTAAAGACACACATTCGCATGGAATGGCTGTGCCAGGTGCTACCCATCGAGAGCTTAACCACCGACTGCTCCTTCCGTGCACATTTAACGGCAACACTGGAAGCTGACGATAGTCATAATAATGATGATGATGCTGATGATGACGCATGCAGTCAGTTTTACATGATTTGATGTCTCCTTCTGCCTCTGTATTCGCTCTTTAAAAGGTATTTGGCAACTCTGCTTAATAATCGGCAAAGCTCAAGAGGATCAAAACGAGGTGAACGGTTTTTTATTTTTTTATTTCTAAATCGGTGTGTATCACATTCACTATCATCCTCATTATCATAAGCAATATCAACACAATTGTCACAATCCTCATGTGCATATATGCCTACTTAGGGCTTACAGAATATTATCCCATCCAATTCTATACGTTCCAGCTTCTTCGATCACATGGATAGAATCTAGTCCAACCTCTTTGACCTCTCTATGTTATCTAATGATTATTTACCTGATGGTGGCAATGAAAGCTGGCATAAAGCCCAGGGTGGAGAGGAAAGCTCCCACTGCATTAATGACCAAGTAAGGATTCAACATGTCGCAGTCCTGCGGACATAGACCTCCGGTGGCGGTCTGTGTGGAGTTTGAAACTATGCAGCTGCAGTTGGTGAACATCTGTTGGGAATGTACAGTTATACAGGACATTGTTATGTCTTTACGGAGAGATTTCTTCAGCGATATCATTGTTATGTCTTTACTGGGAGATTTCTTCAGAGATATCATTGTTATGTCTTTACGGAGAGATTTCTTCAGAGATATCATTGTTATGTCTTTACTGGGAGATTTCTTCAGAGATATCATTGTTATGTCTTTACGGAGAGATTTCTTCAGCGATATCATTGTTATGTCTTTACTGGGAGATTTCTTCAGAGATATCATTGTTATGTCTTTACTGGGAGATTTCTTCAGAGATATCATTGTTATGTCTTTACGGAGAGATTTCTTCAGCGATATCATTGTTATGTCTTTACTGGGAGATTTCTTCAGCGATATCATTGTTATGTCTTTACGGAGAGATTTCTTCAGCGATATCATTGTTATGTCTTTACGGAGAGATTTCTTCAGCGATATCATTGTTATGTCTTTACGGAGAGATTTCTTCAGAGATATCATTGTTATGTCTTTACGGAGAGATTTCTTCAGAGATATCATTGTTATGTCTTTACGGAGAGATTTCTTCAGAGATATCATTGTTATGTCTTTACGGAGAGATTTCTTCAGAGATATCATTTTTATGTCTTTACGGAGAGATTTCTTCAGAGATATCATTGTTATGTCTTTACGGAGAGATTTCTTCAGAGATATCACTGTCAACAAATAATATAAAATCAAAAGTCAAACAAAGCCTGTCACAACGTCGTTCAGATTTGTGGTCACGGCTTATCCTTAAATCATCAATTGATAGAAAACTTTGTTGAAATTAAAAGTCAAACAAAGCCTGTCACAAAGTCGCTAAGATTTGTGGTCCCGGCCTATCCTTAAATCATCTGTTGATAGAAAACCTTGTTGTAGTCGATAGACTGTCTAACAGGAGACAAGAATTCGCAGCGCAACATTTCAAATTGTAATACCAGTGTTAAGGTAACCAATGATCTGATGTATATCTCATTCTGTTGGGCAAGATGTGGTGGTAAAATAACATTTGATTCAGACCTAACAATAGCGAATTTGTCGTCTAACAATAGCGAATTCTATTTGAAGCTTACTTAGAGCAATACATTTTTGTAAATGCATGTCACCTGATTTAACAGCCTGAACATGTTCTTCGAGCTAGTTAAAAGGTGATTATCGCCCATGGCCTTACCATCTTTAGGGAAGTGAACATTGCAAATTACATCTAATCTAAGTGAGTCGTTACAAAATTTACGCTTTTAAAAATTGTTAACTTTATGGAATGCAAATTGTTGTCCTAACTCATTAGTGTTCGTCATTTTTGTTCTCTGGATGTCCTTGGTTTTACAGTTCACTGTCTGTTCGGTGATTCTTCGTTCTTTTCTGCTAAGAATAATTAAGTATATAAGTTTACAGCCCAGTAAAGGATACATATTATATTATATAAAACGAGAGATGAGAACTGCGAAGTGAGACACACAATTCATGAGTCACCTGATTATTCATAGTCAGACAGCCAGCATTGCAAGGTGAGAAGTAAGTATTTCCGTCACTTCCACAAACAGGGAAGTATTTCTGGTCGTCACAATGACAGTCATGTAGACACTGGGACGTGTTCTGGTGACCGGGGCTGTAACTTAGAGGATAGACAACAAACATAAGTGTGGTGTTCTATGTTTAACTTAAGAGCTTACCTTAACTCAAAACTAAGTGAACGTTGTGGGTGTTAAAACTAAAAGCATTTCAGTGGAACATTAGTTCTCAAGGAATAGTATATTAAATACATTTAAACATAAAACTAGACCGATTTCAACATACAAGTTATTAAATATTTCGGTTTCGTTAACATATATACATCTTTTGTGAAAAACATAATCAAGGGAGCAGTTTAAGATAAGCAACTAATATGTAAATAACCAATCAGATAGATTGATGACATTAAAAGACGGACAAACAACCGTGAAATGGTGCACACCTATGACAAGATACAAAGCAAGCTGGGAATAAGCAGATAGATTGATGACACTAAAAGATGGACAAACAACCGTGATATGATGCACACATATGACAAGAATCAGAGCAAACTGGGAATAAGCAGGTAGATTGATGACACTAAAAGATGGACAAACAACCGTGATATGATGCACACATATGACAAGAATCAGAGCAAACTGGGAATAAGCAGGTAGATTGATGACACTAAAAGATGGACAAACAACCGTGATATGATGCACAAATATGACAAGAAACAGAGCAAGCTGGGAATAAGCAGATAGGTTGATGACACTAAAAGATGGACAAACAACCGTGATATGATGCACACATATGACAAGAAACAGAGCAAGCTGGGAATAAGCAGATAGATTGATGACACTAAAAGATGGACAAACAACAGTGATACGATACACACATACGACAAGAAACAGAGCAAGCTGGGAATAAGCAGATAGATTGATGACATTAAAAGACGGAGAAACAAGCATGAAATGGTGCACACATATGACAAGAAACAGAGCAAGGTGGGAATACATTACATCGCAGACGACACGTCACTTGCTAAACTTCCCATTAGGCGCCTAATAACTCTGTTTTGCAACGCCTCATTCGCATTCTTCTAATTTCTAATTTGCATTTGCCTATTCACTATAGTTATTTGCATTTAAACAACGAATAGCGTGATATAATCCAATTCTTCTTCCTCCTAAAGTCCATGCCGCGTGGCGTTGGTTGTCATGTGTATCCACAACCTTCTGTCTCGTGTTTTTCCATTCAACTCTGACATGACGTCAGACTGTCCAGCATCTGTTCTCTCGGTCTCCCTCTGCCTCTCTTCCCCTCCAACTTTCGTACCGTCACGATGTACTTCAGTTTCCTTGTTTTCATCACATGACTACAGAATGTATATTATCTCTTTCTGATGTGGGCAATCAGTTCTCTTCGTGAGTCAGTTTCTTCCAAAAATTTGTCATTTCTCTTTTTACCTGTCCAGGGTATTGTCATCCTTCGTCTGCAAAACCACGTCTCCGCAGCTTCCAAATAAGTTTTCACTGTTACTGACTGTCCATGATTCCTATCCATACATTAATACAGGATTTAAATAACTTTTACTAATTATCTTTCTCCTCTCAATTTTTTTTAAAATGCTGCCTTTGCTTGCGATATTTAACATTTAACTTCCTTAATACATATTTCATCCGATCTTATCAGGGTACCCAAGTAATTAAACATTTCAACTTGCTTGAGGTTTGCCCCATTTACTTTGATGCTGCATTTTGGAGGGTCAGTTTTCGTTGTAATTACCATTACATTCTCTGCTGTTTAAACCCAGACCCTTGTTTTCACTTTCTGTTACAATTATACCCATCATTTCTTGCATTAAATGTTAGACAGCAATGTGTACTATCAACCGATTTATTTGTACTGTGAAATAATAATAATCCAACTCTTGCCATTAAAATACATGATACTGGACATTTAATGGGAATCAATACAATATCTAGTCTCTCACCTGCCAGTGTGTGCTCCAGTGTAGAACCTGGGCTGGTCACAACCGAGGATAAACCCAAGACAAGAAACGGCAACATCGATGAACTTAGTGATGAGGACAAACTTGAGGCATGTCTTTGGTGACATCTTGAACCTGGAAGTCACGTACCCCCCAACGATGGTCCCCAGAGGTGCTGATGTGAACGTCACACCACCTGCCGATAGAACGGAACTAGTACTGGTAGCAAAGTCGGGTCACGTTAGCACATTAGCTAATCAAAGGTTGTTTGAACAAATGTTAGCTGCCTATTCTTGATATGACGCTGCAGTATCAAAACTCATTTTGTGGCTGTTGTGGTTTTCCTTAGCAAATTTTACGTTCAGTAGTTTGTCATTACCACTCAGTAGTAGGTTCTTGATACTACTGTGTAAACCAAAGCAACACCTTTGTTACCAAATCGCATGCAACTGGGTTCGAACCCGGCAACCCAGCGCGTTTGTAAAGCTGAAGCCCAGACGCAGACTCACAGCTAGCATCCTTTAATATCATAAGTTCTCTTTGTTCCTAGTAGCACTTGAGGCTTCAGAGAGGACTTTTTATTGTTTCCTGTACTGTCCAATCAGAGTTGCAGCAAACAGTTCAGTTTCCATCGTTCGGCTCCAAGTTGTTTTTTTTTTTTTTTTTGGTGCTTGTTCTCTCTCATTGCCCCAGGTGTCCAGGTAAAAGCTATTTGCCAGGTATGTCAGGATTCATTCACATAAAGTGGCCAAGCGATTTCCATCTTCTCTTTGTTGTCATACTGTTTAGAGTTTCTGGTTTTTGACTTGAAGTAGCTGAGTGTTTAAAACTGAATATGGCCAGAAAATATTGATAATTCTACGTAGACATGTGTGGTGGAAGGTGGATAGCTTGTGCACATCCTTTTCGGTCGTTCTTCGGCATTCTGATCCAGTTTTTTCCTCTGCAGTTACTGTTGGTTTTCCAGATTTGTCTCATCTTTCCAAAAGCGGCTCTAGCTTTGTTCAAACGCGATTGTACGATTTCACCTGTCCCTCCCAGTAAGGGACACCACACTGCTAAGACTGCAAAGTGTTCTGCATTTTCGAGTTCTTGGACCGTTATTCATAATCTTAGTTTTTCCTTTTTTTAATTCTCAGTCCCACCATACTGCTGTGCTATGTAATCTGCAACTTTTCTCATGTGTGTGTTCATGTTTACGTGATAGGAGTGCTATATCATATGCAAAATCAAGGTCCTCGAGCATGGTGAATGGAGTCCATCATTATGCCTCTCGATGTCTTGTCTGCTGTTTTCTTAAGTATCCTATCAATCACAAGTTAAAAAATTAAGGATGACATAACACATCCGTGTCTTACACCTCTCTTTACTAGGAAAGACATTTTGTAATTTTTTTAATTATAATGCAAGAAAAATCTGTATAGAAGAGAGCAATCATGTTGACTATCTTTTCTGGACTCACAGCTAGAGCAATTTGTAAGTGAATGATAGACCTGTATTATTGAAATACAATATTTACACAGATTTTCACAGAAATACACACAAACACACATATTCACAAACGTGGTTACCGAATGTAGTAAAACTTAACATATTCATTCTCAGTCCCACATACACACACACACACATGTATATACATACACATACGCACACAGACACACACACACATAAACACACACACACACACCCACACACACTGTGATTTCTGAAGATAAAAATGACGCGACACTCACCACTAATGGTCTATCAGAATCTTTTACAGTAGTGCTGAATAACATGCTTAAAATGGTCGTCGGTATTGCATACTGTTGCATACTACAATAACATGCTTAAAATGGTCGTCGGTATTGCATACTGTTGCATACTACAATAACAATGTCCTATATATATATATATATTTACAAAGATACAAATTGTGTGCAAAATAGTGTGCACTATACATACAACAATTTTTAGGAGGTTGCATCAATTATTTATATACTTAGTTGCACTCAAAACAAGTACAAATACCAGAATTGGAGCAGCTTCTCTCATTGTTGCTCAATCCTTACAATAGTCCAGGATAAACTGATAAGCTTAGTTCTAATAACTCAATGAAGTAGGTAAAATCAACGACTTGTTTCACACTCACTGCTCATTAGGAAAGTGATCAAAGATGCGTAATTAATGTCAAAGACCAGCAGGCACTCAATTTACGATGTAGTCAAAATCTCGCCGGGACTTCCAAAGGTACTTAACCATGTTTTACATAGATTTTTGAATGAACCCTAAATAATTATACGAATTCGTCACCGTGTTGACAAGACACCAAGAGATAAGTTAAGTTTATCGTGTGATGACCAATTATTGAATAGAAGTCCAGTTGTCTGGTACTGCATGAGCTGAAACATGTTATATTTAACTAATAAAATAATTTCTTCAGGGAAAACCGCTATACAAATGACATGATTCCTTACCTATCAAAAGGTTAGCTTTGGATGCCGGAATTGTGAACTGCGTTTCCAGATACTTGGGAAGGAAAGACATGATCCCACTCACCATCAGTATTGAGAAAGCGGTGGCAAACGTCAGACACATGTAAACTGGGTTAATAGCCAGGCGAAGCACGGATTTGAGCAGGTCTGATAGAAATAAACATATCATATGACACTCTATCGTTTAAACGAGGGTCAGCTACCTGTAGTATACGCCCTGAACGTATGGCAATTTTTAATGAGTTTGTGAGTTATGATTTGTGTTATCTTCACGGTACCGGACACGTCCATAGTGCTCAGATTCTCCCTTTAACATATACATCAGCGTCCCGCAGTTGATGGTCCCAGTCCTATGTTGGTTGGCAAGACTTCTCGTGCCTCCGGTGTCTTTTCGAGCCTGGCTGTGCCGATCTTTACTCCCAATTCATGCTCTCTTAGCAAAGATGTGGATGTGCTGCTCCCAAATCCCTCTAAACGTCCCACCTCTCCAATGGCGTTAGCAATGACCGCATGATCCATGGACTATCCCTCTGTAACTAAAGCAGAGCTGGATAATATGTCGGCTCTTTCATTGCCAACAACAGCTGCATGCCCTGAGACAAAGATAAAGGTAACTCTACGCATAGTGGTGTTTTACAATGGCTTGATCCACTGTCTGCGTACAAAGCCCGCCTTGAACAGCCGGATCATACTCATGTAATCAATCGGCACACACACACGCACCCACAGACACACACACACACACACACACACACACACACACACACACGTGAGAATAGCCCTGCGATGCTAGCCACATAGAAGTTCTTGTTACCGTCACCGCCTACATTGTCATGCTGTTAGTAGTCATACTAAAGGCACCATTTGCCTCCTGTACTGTTCTACATGAAGAGCCCGCAATAAATGCCCATGCACTTGTTTGTCCTCGTACAACGGACCCATCTATGTACATCCGCATTCGCCTAATCTAAATTTTCACATATATGCGCGTGGACCTCTGTGTTGATAGCAACTGGATTCTGCTCCCGACATCAAGCGTGACAACACAGGAAAATGTGCAATGATCACCTGGGACACAGGTATCCATTATTCGTTGATGTCTTTAAAATTGCAGACCTCTATAACATCGTCCTTTGCCACGATTTGCCCCTTTTTAGCCTGATTTCCTTTCCCTACAGAGAACATTGTGCAGAGGGTGCTTCAGATTCGAGCTTATCTTCAGTCATACACGAGTCCTCCGAATCGTCATCCAATGTTGCATTGACAGAAAAGTCAAGAAGATATCTCACTGCTACGAGAGAAGTGTCTCTTGTGCACCCCAGAATAATGCGCATGGCTTCATTTTGCACTTTTCCCAGTCTTTCAGTCTTGAGTACCGCTGACGGTAAGTATATGACATTTTCATCATCATCTTGTAACAGACTGTTTACTGAACGTCACTCCCATAACAGTAAGCCTGAAATAAACTCGGTCTCCCGCCAAATCAACGCCTCATACACTTTCATGTTTGAATTTACTGTCTCTTATAGCATGTATTTATCTTCCTGCTAGTCAACTCCTGCTTCTCTTATCTGGCACCATTCATTCCACTTCTGTTCATTTCACGCTTTTGAGACGTTTGATACTTTCGAAGTATTTTAACTTCTGAGGCAAGATTATGTTTCACGAGTCAATTGTCCTCATTGTTCAGATCTTTTAGAAACTTAAAGAATTCTTTTCTTCGTGGTCAATGGTATTCTAAGAATCTTTATTATTTTAGCTCAAACGCTTTGATTTTCTTCTCTACAAATTGCGAGATTGTCCATCCGTATGCTGCCACCGGGAAAATACATGCTCTCGACATTTTAGATTTGCTTGCTTTTCAACTTCTTTAGTACACTCTGCATTGCTGTTTACTACAGAGCCAAGTTATCCCAGTTCGTGATATTTTCAATTTTTTTTCTCATGGTACATGGAATTACACTTATCCATCTGACAGCGCTCCAGGCGTATGGAGATAACAGGTGTGAAACCCTTTGAATTTGAATGTTGTCTAGTGCGTCTTGTATCTTACATACTGTTTTCTCCGAATCTTTGAGTATCCATCAAAACCTGTCAATATTTTTATCGTGCTTCTAAACTTTAAATAGTTTAGTTTCTATAACTGTTGCACATACAAATGTGACCAAGTCAGACTGAGCCACTGATGGCTCCGGCATATCACACTTGTCAGTTTTACTTCTCATGACCTTTTGTGATCCGCATTTTAGGCTGGGTCAATCGTAAAGTCAATTATAACAATCCTGCCACGAAGCGGATTCAAACCAAATACCTTGGCGACGGAAGGTAACCGTCTAGCCTCGGTTTTACTGCAAATACTGTCATAGATGTCATTCAAAATATCATTGAGCAATCTTCTGGCACCATCACCCGTTGACATTATAGGAATCTGGTTAGGTCTTTGTGTCATATCTTGGCAAGCATAATTAAACTTGACAGTAAGCACTTTCAACAAAGAAGAATAACAACAATTTGTACAATTGATTGCCTCAGGTTTCGTCGTATTTCGTCACAAACACCTGCTTACTACATTCCGTAGTGAATGCTATTTCGTTATGAACACCTGCATACTACATCCTGTAGTGAATGCTATTTCGTTATGAACACCTGCATGCTACATCCTATAGTGAATGCTATTTCGCTATTAACACCTGCATACTACATCCTATAGTGAATGCTATTTCGTTATGAACACCTGCATGCTACATCCTGTAGTGAATGCTATTTCGTTATTAACACCTGCATGCTACATCCTATAGTGAATGCAATTTCGTTATGAACACCTATTTCGTTATTAACACCTGCATACTACATCCTATAGTGACTGCTATTTCGTTATGAACACCTGCATACTACATCCTATAGTGACTGCTATTTCGTTATAAACACCTGCATGCTACATCCTATAGTGACTGCTATTTCGTTATGAACACCTGCATACTACATCCTATAGTGACTGCTATTTCGTTATGAACACCTGCTTACTACATCCCGTAGTGAATGCTATTTCGTTATGAACACCTGCATACTACATCCTATAGTGACTGCTATTTCGTTATGAACACCTGCATACTACATCCTGTAGTGAATGCTATTTCGTTATAAACACCTGCATACTACATCCTATAGTGAATGCTATTTCGTTATAAACACCTGCATACTACATCCTAGAATAGGTGTCGCTTGTGGTTGTGCATGTTCTTGGGAAAGAAGAATATTGGCAAAGAGACGATCAGAGCAGCTCCCCCGAAGACAAGAAAGCCCAACCACCAGGCACCGAGCCATCTTGGGTCACTTGGTGACATGCTTGTTTCTGGAGTGACAAACAGGACATTGGTTAGTAAAATGGAGTACCGTCACCGCAGTGAACGTTGGCTATACTGGTTCTACTGTTGCTTCGGAGAATATTACACAGAGAGGACCTTGAGAGCCACAAGAATGCTCTTTATCTTAACCACCCACTATGGTATTAGAGGCTTTACACGTGAATGATTACGAATAGGGAAGTCGCCGTGGCGTAGCGGCTGGACGCCCGCGTGCGGATCGAAAGGTCGTTGTTTCGCTTCCTTCGGAACCTGACCTTTTTTTAAAAATGACCTTGACTCCCAGGTTGACCAAAACTTGAGTGGGTACCGGGTGCAGTCCAGGGAGAAAAGGCGGCCGACGCCATGCGGAGCACATCCCCCATCTTGTGCCAACTGGTCTATACAAATATAGGTCTAGCCCTATATGCCTAAGGGCGTGGAAAAGGGACCTTTACTTCTCCAACCCAAAGAATCGCACTACAGATCGATAGTCAAATAGTAAATGTAACGATTAATGACAACAAAGATTACCCGCAGCAGTTACTAACTTTGAGATATGAAGTATTACACACCTTCCAGTATGTGTCAGATTATGGGACATGAAGTATTACATACCCTCCAGTCTGCGTCAGATTATTATACATCAAGTATTACATACCCTCCAGTCTGTGTCAGATTATGGGACATGAAGTATTACATACCCTCCAGTCTGTGTCAGATTATGGGACATAAAGTATTACATACCGTCCAGTCTGTGTCAGATTATGGGACATGAAGTATTACATACCCTCCAGTCTGTGTCAGATTATGGGACATAAAGTATTACATACCCTCCAGTCTGCGTCAGATTATTATACATCAAGTATTACATACCTTCCAGTCTGTGTCAGATTATGGGGCATGAAGTATTACATACCCTCCAGTCTGTGTCAGATTATTAGACATGAAGTATTACATACCCTCCAGTCTGTGTGAGATTACTTTCACATTTTGACCCGATACATCCCGTTTCAGTAAGACCCTTTTTTGGTTACTTTTTTACAACACGATGCTATAGCCTTACGTCCTTTTTAGGATGTTATTTATTGTTATTTGAAGCCCCACTCTGGCTTTTGCCAGGGGCCGCAATATAGGCAGGTCATCATTATGGCCAAATGTCTGAACGCGGTTTCTGGGACCTCTCCACGGTGATCCTCATCCGCATGGTGGCACTTTGTGTCATCGGGTGTTTATCGCTTGTGTGATGTCCTGGTGGGGTAAAAAAGCCAAGCCAAGCCAACACGATGCTTATGGTGATTTCTCCTCATTCTTTATTTTCTTTTTCCCCACCAGGTATGTGGAGGGGGATATAAGATCCTGCTCCTTGCTCTTTCCGTCGCCGCCATTGTGCTGTGGAGTTTTTCTCATTTTATATGTCCATATGTTTCTTGATCTACATTGTGCTCTACGTCCTTCGTCTCTGCTAATGAATGCTTTGCATGAAATGACGTCAGGAGGTATCCTCTTAGTGGGCAACATATTTTAGTTGCTGTCATTGTATGTAATTTAAAATCGGTGCCTACTTTTCTCTCATGACTTCATTCCTGATTTTATTTTTTTGGGTCCTTTTTTCAGACATTGAATTTTCATGGTTACTAATTTTCTTTTCTTACTCATTAAACTAACTTGTTCTTACTTGGCCTCCTTCTGCCTCTCTTTTCTTCCAACTTTCATGTTTTGAAGCTTACATAAAGCATACAATAAATAGGTATCGGTAAAATTATAGCGACTGAGGACAACAGATGCCTACCTTCTAGTGTGACGTATATACTGCTAAACACTCCTCCAAGTGCAAAGGCAATTCCAGGTCCAAAGATAGACATCCCTGTCGTGATTCCTAAAGTATGGAGACAAGGAGTCATTCATTTCAGAACCCGTTTCACTGCTTTCTAATGAATCTTTGATTAATAAAGTACTAGACCTTTTCACTTCACCATATTGAGCAACACAGGACGCCTGTGCCGAGACTGAAACAACCACCGGACACCATATACCAAGGCAACTCGAGCCGAGATCGAAACATGCCAAGGACAACTCATCGCATACTGACACCTGACTAGAGCAGAGCAAGCCCCAGACACCTTATGCCAGGCCGACCGGTGTTCGTCGGTCAGTTGGTCGGTGTCAGTCCGTCGGTCCGTTGGTCGGTGTCTGGTGTCCGTCGGTGTCCTCTCGTCTGTCGGTCGGCCATTTCTCGGCCATTTCTCTTGTCCGCCGAGCTTCCTTGTCTGTAATCAGCCTGTTATCTCTCGTACAGGCATCTGTATCACAGCAGAATGTCTATATCGTTGAGTTGGTCAGTTCAGGCTTGTAAGTCAATCAACCAAATCAAATTTTTCGGTATTTGAAACCCTACTCTGGCTTTTGCCATGGGCCGCAATATAGCCTGGCCATAAATATAGTCTAAAGACTGAACGCGGTTTCTGGGACCTTATCACGGTGATCCTCAGCCACATGGTGGCACTTTGTGTCATCGGGTGTTTATCGCTTGTGGGATGTCCTGGTGGGGTATAAAGTCAGTCAGTCAGTAAACTATCTACGTATTTGTAGAGTTAACTTGCCGTCCTTTTTAAGACAAAATTTTTCGTTATTTGAAGCCCCACCCTTGTGCTGCGGGCCGCAAAATAGTCAGGCCATAATTATGGCCAATTGGCTTTCCGAAGTTTCTGGGACCTCTCCACAGTAATCCACGTGGTGGCACTTTGTGTCATCGGGAGTTTATCGATTAAGTGATGTCCTAGTGGGGTAAAAATCTACTCTACCAACTAGCTATGCGCCTAATTGGTCGTTACATGGCAAAAGTCAAACTTTGCTGGGACCAGTAGGGCACTCAATATCATGAGTGGTTGACTGACTTACTAAACTGAACTGACAAACTCGACGATTTAGCCACTCTTCTGTAATAGAGATGCCTGTACGAGAGCTAACTGACAGACTAAGAGACAACGATTACCCATACTACTGACAGGTAAGCCCAACTGACAAGAGAAATCGACCGACCGACTGACCAATGGACCAGCGGATCAACACCGACCGACCGACCCAACAGAGGGACAGGAGGAGACCCGAAGGATTTTGCTTAACAAGTGTTTCTTACACTGGTTGCGTTAGTCGTTTATTATCACCCAGTTGTACCGTTTACAGATCACATATGGCTAACAGTTGATCATTCCATTTTGCTCTCTCTCTCTCTCCTGTGCAATATTTTCGATTCGCGAATGAAATGAAGTCCGATAGTCTTCAATTTAGTACAGTCCGTTACAGGGTTTAGTGTCCCTCTCATTAACATTTGTTGTAGCGTTTCTCGTAGATATACTTTCCGCTCAGTTCATTTGTTTCTCATTTCTGTTTCTTTTTAGCGCTTTTTTGTCCTCATAATCTCAGAATAGTCCTATTCAATATAAATTGTTATCTTTTTTGGCTTATAAATGTTGACATCATTGAATGCGCATACATTTTTGCAAATTTGTGTACAAACAATTAATGTCATTTTGTTTATTAATTTCTTGACCAATTTTTGTCCAGTGACTTAAGTTTTCGTTCCATGTTTTTACAGACACTCTAACTTTCACTAGCACATGGTAGAACTAAAATAAAATTAAAAGCAAATGTTAAAAAAAAAATAATAATAAATTAATGAATATACATCGCTTGATTTTTGTTTCTGCTACTGTCACTGGCAAGCAATGCATGCCATGACATTATATGTCATAATTTATCTCTTTATATTTCCTCGTCAACCAACATTTGTTACCTGTGTATGTTATCTGAGCTTTTACATTTCTGTTTATCTATTTTGTCTTCAGTTACGTTTACTTCATCTGTTTTTTTTTAAGTCTTTAAAAAAGACGACACGTGACGAGAGCTGGACAAGTCCAGGACACCTCAACACAGGCCGCCAATGCGAGAGTAGAGCAAACCCTAAACACCTCATCCTAAACCAACTTGTGCCGAGATCGAAACAAGCCACAGACCCTCATCTCAGGCCGACCCGTGACTAGAGTGGGGCAAGTCCGAAAACCTCATCCTAGACCGACCTGTGACTAAAGCGGAGCAAGCCCCGGACACCTCATGCCGGGCCGACCCAAAACGAGAGCGGTTCAAGCCCCTGACACCTTATTTGATTCCGACACGTTAAGACAGCAGGGCAAGTCTAGGTCACCTAATTTCAGACTGACCCGTGACGAGAGCGGAGCAAGCCAGAAACACCTTATCCCAGACCCTCCCGTATCTAGAGCGGGGCAAGCCCGAAAACCTAATCACAAACCGATCCTTGACTAGAGCAGCGCAAGCCCAAGACACCTCATGCTAGGCCGATATATGACGAGAGCAAGCGTCGGACAACTCATCCCAGACCGACCGTGACGAGAGCGGAGCAAGCCTAGAACCCATCTTCCGCAGCGGACTCGTGACGAGAGCGAAGCAAGCCAGGAACACCTTATCCCAGCAAGCCCAGATCACGTCATAATGTGCCGACTTATGCCCGGCGCTGGTCAAGCTACGTACACATGAACACAGGCCAATAGGTGACGAGAGCAGGGCAAGCCCGGACACCTCATCATAGATTGACTCGTTACAAGAGTGGAGCAAACCCAGGACACCTCATACCCGACCGACACGTGACAAGAGCGAAGCAAGCAGGGTATACCTCATCCTAGGCCCACCCTTAAGTAGAGCAGGGCAAGGCCGGACTTCTCATCAGAGTCCGACCTGTGACGAAAGCGGGGCAAGTGCCAGGCCGACCCGTGACGAGAGCGGAGCAAGCACCTGTCACCTCATCCCAGACCAACCCATGACAAGAGCTGAGCAAGCCAAGGACACCTCAACACAGGCCGCCCATGCCGAAAGTGGAGCAAACCCTGGACACCGCATCTCAGACCAACTCGTGCCGAGATCGAAACAAGCCCCGGACACCTCATGCCAGGCCGATCAGTAACGAGAGTGGAGCAAGCCCCAGACACCTTATCTGAGACCGACCTTTAAATGGAGAGGGGCAACCCCTGGACACCTCATTCCAGACTGACCGGTGACGAGAGCGGATAAGGCAGAAACACCTCATCCCAGGTCCACATTGCTCTAGAGCGAGGCAAGCCCGAAAACTTCATCACAGGCCGACACGTGAATAGAGGGGATTAAGCCCCGGACACCTTATGCGAGGCCGACCCATGACGAGATCGGAGCAAGCACCAGACCCCTCATGCCAGGACGGCACGTGCAGGACGGCATGTGACGAGGGCGGAACAAGTCCGTGACACTGCATCCTAGACCAACCATTGACGACAGCCGAGCAAGCCCCGGACACCTCTTTCTAGACCGACCCTGGACGAGAGTGAAGCTAGCCAGGAACACCTGATCCCAATCCCACCCGTAAGTAGAGCAGGGCTAGGCCAGACTCCTCATCAGAGACCGACCCGTGATGAAAGCGGGTAGAGCCTAGGACACCTCATGCCTTTCTGACCCGTGACGAGAGCTGAGCAAACCTAAGACACCTCATCCCACACCAACTCCTGCCGAGATTAAAACAAGCCACAGACACAGCAGTGCAAGCCCCGGACACCCCATCCTAGACTGATACGTAAGGAAAGTGGAGAAGGCCCCGGACACCTCATCCCAGGCTCACCCGTAACTAGAGCGAGGCAAGTCCGGACACCTCATTCCAGTCCGAAACGTGAGACCCTTGACGAGAGCGGAGCTAGCCCCATTAACTGATTCCAGACCTACTCGTGACGAGAACATGGCAAGCCCCGGGCACCTCATCTTAGACCGACCCGTGACGAAAGCAGGTAAAGCCCAGGACACCTCATGCCTGGCTGACCCGTGACGAGAACTGAGCAAACCTAAGACACCTCATCCCACACCAACTCCTGCCGAGATTAAAACAAGCCACAGACACAGTAGTGCAAGCCTCGGACACCCCATCCTAGACCGACCCGTAGGAAAGTGGAGAAGGCCCCGGGCACCTCATCCTAGACCGACTCGGAGCGAGAGAGGAGCAAGCTCAGGTCACCTGAACCTAGACCGACCCGTTACTAGTTTTCAAAAAAGAAACAACAATCTTTGATATTATTTAACAGTATTGAATTTTGAACACATTGTTGCTTGACAGTACAGGAGTCAACAGGTTGTAGATAGACGTGACTACCAACGCCACATGACAAAGACTTTAAGAAAAATAAATGACGCAACGGACTAAACAACAGTTCGTAGTTCGTGGTTGCAGAAATTCACCCTAACGGATACAGATTTCTAAAAGAAATGATACATCCCTGCCCGGGCTAAAATTGGGTTAGTGTCAAAGGAGTGTTCTTATTAAGCGAGTTTGCACTCACGAGGGTCTACTGTTGTAGCATATCGACTCCTTGGGTATTGAGGAAGGAGTCGGAACACGCATTTAAATCCGAAGATTGCTGGGATGTCAGTCCTTGTACATTCCCTCAGTATGTTAATCGCGAAAATATGTTATTTGATGAAAATTTCTTATGGATGCGACCATGGTTGTGGCTAATGAAAACTTTTTTTTTTTTTTTATTACACAATTCATATTTAATAGCGACTTAATGATTAATATAACAAACTAGTTTATTACATGATATGAACTCAATGAAAAATAACTAACTACAAAAATTAACTAATTTCCTTTAAAAAATGCAGTTGAACAGATCAAGGGACCATTCATTTTTAGGTCTATTATTCTGAAGACTGGTAACCTGAAGCAGTCTGTCCCTCCACTGCATTCTATTCTCAGTAACTCCATCTAAGTCCATACCGCCAGGTTCTCGCACGCTTGTCTGATAAACGTTTTTACTAGAACATTCTCTTTTTCCTTAACCCTGGACCTGATCATCCATCCAGTATTTTCTGTAACAGAGCCCTATGTCAAATATTGTCACCAGCTCAAGACTGCCCTTTTTGCATGATGCTAAATAGTTTGCCAGATATATACTTCATTTGATCTCCTTTCTTTCCAGTTTACTCTTTGCATTCTGCGCTAACACCATATCTACAAAACTTGTAGTTCTTTTAAAATGTTCTGTTTATGGTCCACGTTTCAAGCCTTTTCTGTGGGCAAGATATGTCCAGTTATGCAGTTCAGCAGTTCAATATTGATGTTATGAATGTATCGTTCTTCTCAAAACACAGCTACTGCAATCAGTGATCTTAGTTCAGTTTCATATTTTCTATTATTATTTAGCCAGAACGGAGAAATTATTAATGGTTTTATCCTTTGCATAGATATTTTGGCTTTTTAAATTTTCTTTTTTTAAAATAGTAATTACCACTATGTCTTAGTCTGAAAGTCATGACAAATTTCAACAATGCCACACTAACAATTTAGCAGACAGGATGGGGACATTAAAAGTGTGCTAAATAAGTACCACGCTGAAAGGTGTCTGCTTACTTCGTTTCTTGCCTCCCTGAATTGGCAATTCAACCTTTAGCTTGTCCTGCATTAACTCTACTGCATGTGGTCCCAGGCGCACGTAACACACTGTATGGTCCTGGGCAGTTATCTGCAGCTCTTCTTTGAGAATGCCATCAATGACCAGCTTGCGACACAACCTCTCCGCATCATTCCTTGCCCAGTCTTTACCTCGAGAGTGTAATGCCAGCTTTGAATGACCTAAGGTCTGAATCTTCGTGTTATTGGAGCCTTTAAATATCTCCAAGATGTGAATGAGAGTGTAGTTGCCATTGCCTCTAGCATTCAACTCTTTAACAATTTCCTTAGCTTCTGCAGACACATCTCGAACGCTGAACGAATCCTTGATCTCACAATTATCACACACAGCACCTTTAACAGCTGCACATCGATCACGTGAGAAACTACATTCACCAAAATACTGAAGGATTTGACATCTCCGGCAGTCAGAAACATTTTCACAGTATGACACCATTCTGAACAAGTTATCTATGTGAACCCGCTTTGACTCAAAGTTGGCAGCCTGGTCCAATTCAATAATCCTCCTCAGCCTCTTCACATCCTGATAAGTATAGAGCAGGAGACAGTACGAGAGAAGGCCATCTCTGCCTGCTCGCCCAGCCTCTTGATAGTAACCCTCCACAGATTTGGGCAGTGAGTAGTGTATCACAAATCTGACATCGGCTTTGTCTATGCCCATGCCAAAAGCAATTGTAGCACAAATCACCTTGCATTTGTCATCATTTAACCATCTGTCCTGGACTTTAGCCCTGGTGCCATCATCAAGACCGGCATGATAGGGTTCTGCTTGTACACCAGCCTTTCTCAGCTCAGCAGCTACTGTGTCACATTCCTTTCTGGACAAACAATAAACTATGCCACTGTCCCTTGGGAAGCGTTTCTTGATAATGTCAATGACGTCTGTCGTGGCATTGGAGGGCTTCTTGTTCTGAACACTATACTTGAGGTTTGGTCTATTGAAGCTCTGCATAAACCATTTAGGGCTGATCATGCCCAACTGGTGGACAATGTCTTTACGAACACGAGGTGTGGCCGTTGCTGTCAGAGCCATCACAGGAACGCCAGGAAACCGCTGCCGCAGCACATTTAATCTTTTGTAGTCAGGGCGAAAGTCATGGCCCCACTGACTGACGCAATGAGCCTCATCAATGACAAAACGGTTAAGCTGCTGGCGTCTGTATAGACTATCTAGACAACTCAACAATTTCTCACTGGCCGACAGCTTTTCTGGAGTAACATATAACAATTTGTAGGCTGGCTCTCGCTGATACAAGCCATTATAAACTGACTGGTTCTGCCCTGTCTCCCCATCACTGGACAAATGAGTTGCTGGTATATTTAAGGACAACAGTCGCTGGGTCTGGTCTTGTATTAGGGCTTTTAGAGGAGATATGATCACAGAAAGACCATTTGCAACCAGTGCTGGCAGCTGGTAACACAAACTCTTGCCACCTCCTGTTGGCATGAGGATGAAACAGTCATGCCCTAACAATGCAGCATTGATGGCTGGTAACTGATTGTGTCTGAACTCTTTCAGTCCAAACACCTGGCGGAACATGTTCTGCAGAACAGGACTATGGTCAAACTTCATACCAACAAACTCTGAAGATGCCCCATCATCTCGATCTGCAGAGCTGAACACTGCTGTGTACTCTTCAAATGTTTTGTCCCCTTGTTCTGAGGATGAGGCTGCTGCTGCTCCTGACTGACAGTCCCAGTTCCTTTCATAGTCTTCATCATCTGACGATGCTATCTCATTGTACATAGAGACATCTTCCACATCAACATTTGAACAAAATGAGCTCACAACACTTTTTGTTCGATCTGTCAGCTGCTTTTTACTGCTTGACTCAATGCTGCATGTTTTGTCTCCAAAACTCCTTTTGTTAACACTTTCTCCATCATCATCAAAGTCTGCATATGCTAATGCTGCTTCCATTTCGTCAGCAAAGTCTCTATCTTCCATACTTTCGACACTCTGCCAAGAACTATCAAGACTGTTGGCTAATTTACTACTGCTCACTTCAGTATTATCTTTAGCATACAGACCAAATGTAGTATTTGTTTCATAAGAACAGTGTGCTTTTTCATTATAATTTATTGTATCTGAAGACTGTGTTGGTACATTCCTCCTCATGTTACTAGCTGAATTGTTATTTTTGTTGTCAGCTCCAAAACTCAGCCTTGTTGCACTACTCTGACTACCAGAATTACTAACAGTGTTTCTGTCCCCTTTGTTATGTCTTTTGTGAAGCTGACTGATGCTGTTCTCTGCCGCAAAAAAAACTGTCACCACAGGGAACAGGTGTTGCAGCGGTCAGATAGTTGCCTGGTGGTTTTGATATTGCCCTCGACTCTAAATGTCTTTCTGAACTGGAACCTTGAGAAGACAAGAGTGTACTAGTGGGCCTCAGCTTTAAACTTTTTCTATTGTGTGCATCTTTTCTTGACTCAGAAAAAGTGAAGCTGGTGTTTGAAACTTGTCTGCTTGTACTTTTGCTTGCTTTATCCACATCGACAATGCCAACATCTTTGATTTGCTTCCGAACAGTGAGAAGCTTCTGAAGACGTTCATAGTCTGAAGAAACAAACTTCATCAAATCTGCCATTTTGATCTGGCAGATGATGTCACAGACTTCATCAACCACCTGCAGCAGAATGTCTCTCAGTGTCAAAACATCCGGCTCACTCAGCAAAGTAAGGTCTTTCCTTTGCAAAAGCGGATGCTGGCAAATATCCGGAATTCTTGGTGAACCTGGCAGTGCTGTATTCTGCAGATCTGCCACAGTCTTGGCATCTTGGTCAATGATTTCATCTTCAGCATCACTCTCTACAACAGGGTTTGTTCTACGTCTCTTTGGTTTAAACAGCACATCATCATCATCATCTGACTGTCATGTTTGATGTATCAGAAATCACTTTTGGAACACTGTTAAAACTTTCCCTTTTCTTTTTCACACTTTCAGGCTTTGTTGTAGAGACCTCTTGTCTTGTTAATTTATTTGGTGTCTTTTGTGAAAACACTGGTGTCTCAAAATCATCATCATCATCCTCTGTAATTTCCACTGGGTAAGGACAAAGAACCGACAGACGTGGAAAGCTATGACCTCTGCCCTATGCGCCATCTTTGGCACAAGAGGAATAACTAACTAACTAACTAACTAAGGATCTGAATGCCTAGGGGTCACAGCTAATTTCTGCATGGGATGGACAGCAGGACTTGATCTCTGAGGCATTACAGCTGCTACTGCCACTTGTTTCTTATTGACAAATGACTTGATCGAAGCCTGGACATTTACATTCTGCTTCAAAGCTGCTGTCTGGTTTGTCTGCAAGGGAGTCTTTGAAACAACTGGAGGTCTTGACAACCAACCATTTTCAGGCAGATTACTTGAGACTGTTGATGGTGGCCCAGCAGTGGGATCCGAAGCAGCTGATCCCAGTTTCCTAAATGTGAACCCTTTAAAGGTGGTTTTGTTCGATGCCATTATCCCTGCTTCTGTTCAAACAATCAAATTTATTTCAAGTAAATAATTAAATATACAAATTGTGCAACACAAACTTCTCCGAAATTATTTGAGAGAGATCCGACTTTTATTTCTGCCGCTCGGCGCCATAATGAAAACATATGCCAGATATGCTATTTATGAGTATTTGATGATGAGAACATGTGGGTGATGAGAGTACAGGCTGTCTGAAAGGACTTGTCTCCCTCACCTGTTATTCAAAATGTACTTACCAAGATAAAGTGACGTCTTTGTTCTGGGGACGTTGTCGTCGACGTAGATGCTGAGAAAAGTTTGCCGTGGAGATTTGGTGACACCCTGCAGGATCATACCAATGGCAATAATACAAATGGCGGCTATTCTCCAGTCTTCTGTTATTTGGAGAATGCCCTTTAATCTGTTAGATTCGGCTGTACAGGTGAGATTGGCAGGTGTGCTGAAGTTCTCACACATCTGGGTAAAACCTGTCTGAGCAGTAGACATAATAGTATTCCCACCTGGAAGACAAAGACAAAATATACACAGGTTGTCTGTCTGGCTGAATTTTGATAAGATACTTTGCAGAAAATCTTCAATTCGTATTCGCAGCGGAACTTGTTATTTTTATTTTTATTTAATGTTTGTTTTTTATTTTATGTTTGTTTATGTTTCCAATAGTTAAACTGGATCCCTGGTAGAGCCTACAATGAAAAAAAGAAAATGATATGGGTTGAAAATGTGATTTTGAGCATATCACCCTTTATTTATTTAAAAAAAAAATTATCCCAGCATCACGTCATCCTAATGCGGAAATGTCACAGGCATGAGGAGGAGGAAAAAGGGAAGAGGGAGGAAATTAAAGGGGAGGGGGAGGGAGGAAAAAGGAAGTTTGGGTTCTTCTTTTTAAAATAACAGTTTTAAAGAAACAAAAGAAACAAACTGGTGGTGCTGCAGTATAAAGTATATCATTAAACAATAGATCGTTCTGAAGGCTAATTGATATATTTTGAAGAAGTCTGATGCCTCCCGAATACAACTTGTCACAAACATCAGAAACTTACAGTCATCATTTGTAACTATATAATAAAAGAAAAAAGAAAAGAAAATAAAAGAAATTCCGACAATTGAAAAGTTAAAGGAAAAAGTATTGGAGATGAAAAAAAAATAAAATGATTCACATCCTTTTGTCACGGCATTGAAGGGCGTCGGCACACAGACTGATACATTCTGTTGTAGTTGTAGAAAAGCATTATAACTGAAGCCATTTATCAAACCACGAGATGATGAATGTTATTATGTTTATGTATTATGAATTATTATTCGATGTTTCGTGAAAGAAGGGTGGTTCTCATGATTTGTTTTCATTATAGAAAAGTAAATGGGGAGAACCCATTTTCACGCCAGTGGCTTTTCACTCATATGATACTAGGCTTCTATTATTGTAGACCAATCTACACGGGTTAGGAGATGTGCTAAGCATCCCGCTGGCCACCTTTACTTCCCATGAATTGACCCAGTACTCATTTAAGCTAGTCGGGTAGTGGGTTTATCCTCCCCTTCACCGCACCCCCCCCCCCTTTTTCCACGGGAACCCGGATCACTCGAACCCGAACCCACACAGGGAGGTATTAATACAAAAGTAAGGATCGGGCTTGACAAGAGAGCAGAGAAAAATTAGAAAACGTTGCCATTGATATACCAGATTATGTAGAGTGACAGAGAGAAGGAGAGAGAGAGAGAGAGAGAGAGAGAGAGAGAGAGAGAGAGAGAGAGAGAGAGAGAGAGAGCGAAGAAGATAATGGTGAAAGATCCTTGTCAACCATCTGTCCCGACATAAAAATGTGTCAACCCACAAGGGATAGACAGTGTAAGAGATAACAAGATAATGAGATGCATAATCGCCCACGTCAGTCGGCCAGGTCCTTGTTGATTCTGATGAATGTATGATTTCATACATGTCACAGGTAAGCTGGGAAGTCTACGTGTTTCCGCACAGCACATCCGATTTCAGTTAACAAACATAAACTATTCGACGCCTACGACATGCATGATAAGAGGCAGTAGCTCTACACCATCAACCACCGCCCTCTCACTTCATTAACCCAGTAGGCCATGGAGCCCACACAGAAAGGATAGTTTCATGATTTGCGAAGTAACTAGTTTCATTTTAACGATGAAATATTTACCTGTTTGTCTATCCACGGGTGGACTAGGAATTTGGTCTCTAGTACCAAAGAAGGCCACGGCACAGAGAATGCCAGAGACACCGTAAAATATGCTGCAGATGGAGAGTACTCGCGGTATGTGCACTCGTCTCGTGTAGTAGCTGACAAGTAAGGTGGCGGAGAAATAGCCCAGATCATCGCAAGCCATAAGGAACCCACTGACGGAACTGTTCATGTTGAAATGTTTCTCCAATGACGTAATCTGTTCAAGGAAGACATCATACAATTTCTCACTGTGATGCTAATTTGTTTAGGATTGTCCTAGCTTTATTTACTATTGTGCTGACATATCCCAGACGACAATGTGACAATGCTGAAGAGTGTTGTTAATAATTTCTGAAGTCAGTGTTGTAAATAATGTCTGAAGACAGTGTTCATTATAATGTCTGAAGACCGTGTAGTTAATAATTCTGAAGACAGTGTTGTAAATAATGTCTGAAGACAGTGTTCATTATAATGTCTGAAGACCGTGTAGTTAATAATTCTGAAGACAGTGTTGTAAATAATGTCTGAAGACAGTGTTCATTATAATGTCTGAAGACCGTGTAGCTAATAATTCTGAAGCCAGTGTTGTAAATAATGTCTGAAGACAGTGTTCATTATAATGTCTGAAGACCGTGTAGTTAATAATTCTGAAGCCAGTGTTGTAAATAATGTCTGAAGACAGTGTTCATTATAATGTCTGAAGACCGTGTAGTTAATAATTTCTGAAGACAGTGTTGTAAATAATGTCTGAAGACAGTGTTCATTATAACGTCTGAAGACCGTGTAGTTAATAATTTCTGAAGACAGTGTTGTTAAAAATGTCTGAAAACAGTGGTGTTATTATGTCTGAAGACAAAGCTGCTATTGCTTCCTGAATATATGGTTGACAGTGTTGTTAATGATTTATGAACATTGTTGTTAATAATGTGTGAAGTTAGTGCTGTTAATAATGTCTGAAGTTAGTAGTGTTAATAATGTCTGAAGTTAGTGTTGTTAATAATGTCTGAAGTTAGTGTTGTAGATAATGTCTGAAGATAGTGTTGTTGATAATGTCTGAAGTTAGTGTTGTTAATCATGTCAGAAGTTAGTGTTGTTAATCATGTCTGAAGTTAGTGTTGTTAATCATGTCTGAAGTTAGTGTTGTTAATCATGTCTGAAGTTAGTGTTGTTAATCATGTCTGAAGATAGTGTTGTTAATAATGTCTGAAGTTAGTGTTGTTAATAATGTCTGAAGTTAGTGTTGTTAATAATGTCTAAAGTTAGTGTTGTTAATCATGTATGAAGTTAGTGTTGTTAATCATGTCTGAAGTTAGTGTTGCTAATCATGTCTGAAATTAGTGTTGGTAATCATGTTTGAAGTTAGTGTTGGTAATAATATATGAGACAGTGTTGTTGATAATGTCCGACAACAGTGTTGTTTAATGATTTCTGGACAGTGTTGTTCATAATATCTGAAGACGGTGTTGCTATTGACATTTGAAGACAGGGTAGTAAAAATGTCTGAAGATAGTGTTGGTAATGATTTATGAAGACAGTGTCGCTAATGGTTTATAAAGGCAGTGTTGGTAATGATTTATGAAGACAGTGTCGCTAATGGTTTATAAAGGCAGTGTTGGTAATGATTTATGAAAACAGTGTCGTTAATGGTTTATGAAAATAGTGTTGCTAGAGATGTCACAAGAGAGCATTACAAATGATGTTTAACAACATTTTTAAAATGATGTCAGAGTGATGCTAACGATGTCTAAAGACTTTGCTGTACTAATGCCTGTAGACGGGCTTGCTACTGATGACTGAAGACGATGTTGCCCTTGACTGTTCACACCCCAATTTACAGGTTAAGGCCTGAGAGAATGAATCAGCTGTCCTAGTGCAAATCAACAAGAGATTACCATGTCTGTTCAAACTCAACATAGATGCACACGTTTCACCTACATCTGCATCAGTGTTTATAAGCTAATAATTCAAGTCTTTTGCTAGTTGCTATAAAAAGATCACACAAACATCTTGTGTTTGATAAGACCTCACAGACCACAGATGTATGGTAAGGCATCACACACGTCTGGTGTATGACAAGCCTCACACACTCATGGTATGCGGCAAGACCTCACACACGTTTGATGTGTGACAACACCTCACACATGTCTGGTGTGTGACAAGACTTGACACACTCCTGGTGTGTGACAAGACCTGACACACTCCTGGTGTGTGACAAGACCTGACACACTCCTGGTGTGTGACAAGACCTGACACACTCCTGGTGTGTGACAAGACCTCACACACACCTGATGTTTGACAAGATCTTATACACGTCTGGTTTGAAACAAGATCTCACACACGTCTGGTGTAATACAATGCATTTCACACGTCTGGGGTGTCTACTGTACTTAGGGATGTACTCACACGTCTATCTTGCCTAACTAGCTACGTACCCACACATTTATCATATTTTGCAACAACCTCGACATACTGCTCCCAAATCTCTCTTTTTTTTAAAAACCTTTATAAATGACAGCATGATCTATTGGTTTGCCAAATATGACGATTGAAGAACCAGCAAACCTATCAGATGTTTCATTGTCATTAAGGCAATGTTGCCCCTTGCCAAAGATAAAGTAGCTCTATAAACAGTGCCTAGCGAGTCTTCATTCAGCTATGTATTCAGTAAAGTATAAGGACCCTTTTCCACGATTTCAGGCGCATTGGCCATATAGTAATAGTCCTATAGTGTATAGCCCAGTTGGCACTCGGTGGGCAAAGTGGTCAACATAACGCTAGCCACCTTTACTTCCCATGATTCTTAGCTTACCTAATACCTCTTTGAAACTTGGTCGACCTGAGAGCCAACGTCAATGTTTTTAAAGTCCTGTTCCGTTTGGATTTGAAACCCACGACCTTTGGATCAGCAGGCTAGTGGCTAATCCACGACGGCTCTCCAGCTATGTATTACCTACTCCATGTATTACCTACTCCATGTTTTACCTACTCCATGTATTACCTACTCCATGTATTACCTACTCCATGTATTACCTACTCCATGTATTACCTACTCCATGTATTACCTACTCCATGTATTACCTACTCCATGTATTACCTACTCCATGTATTACCTAGTCCATGTATTACCTACCTGTGAACTGATGTAACTACTGAGTGCAGCCATCACTAGCCCGGTGACACTGTAGAGAGCTGTGAACCAGGCCATGTTCTTGCAACACTAAGCGAGAAATATTAGTTTACACAAGGTGAGTGCATCTACTGGAGCCATCTATATTCCTATCCAAATCAACACAGTAACATACGTCCAGACTACATTTAAAATACTGCAGTCAATTACTTGTTCTGCTGAGTTCTCTCTGAAAAAGGCAGTTGGCGCGTTGTGTTGTGGTTTACAGTTAATCTTCGATACCTGCTCTTCTTGGCGAAACACATCCGATGTCGGCAAACCCCTAGTTAGTTGTCGTTTACGGCATGTCTTCTAATGAAGCAATGTGTATATTCTTTTACTTATGGAATGGGCTCCCAAACCACAAGGCAACCTTTCTCAGCAAGCTTTCAGAGTCTGTTACAGTTACGACACGTGTATGCATCTTGTTCTCCAGCCATTGGAGAGCTGAAGTTATCGCCTCCACCTCCATTCTTATGCTAGATGTTGTGGTGTCAAATGCTAGGCTGTATTGCACTGAAGAATTTCCACTGGTTGTCGCTAGCAACCCATCCAGGTACTTCTCTTTCTTCTCAACACTAAACCATTTGTATAGATAATCAAATCAGATCACATAAACTGTCGTGAAGCAACTGTTGGACTTCCACCTCCGTAGCATCCGCTGGCCATTCTCAGCACACCCGGCCAAATGTGATCAAAACCCTACAGAGGTCAGACAATTCTGCTGGGACTGACCAACTCCTCTCCTCGCCCAATGTTCTCCAGCATGCGTATTTGTCTTAATGTGTCTTCTGCTTGAGCCATCCATGATTTTCTCTTTCATTTTCAGCCTCTGACCCTTACCTGTAGCCAAAGCTTCATACGTGGAGTGTTTCCTGTCTGCAGCTACTCTGAGGTATGGCTTAGTCTGCAGGACCTTTAGCCTATCTGCAATATTCAGCAAAGCAAGGATGTACTGTCTCGCATGCACACAGTCAGGGTGTCTCTTGTAATCCCATGATTAGCCGCATAGCTTTATTCTGTCTGCGCTCAACATGGGAGTCACATGTTGAGTTTTGTTAAATTTACTTCGGATGGGTAAGCAAGTGTCTAGATACACCCTACCGAGGCTTCTCTTTGAGTGATTTACAACATAATTTTACTGATTACTGATATAAGAATCGACATCATAGCACACCGGGCATACCAAAGGTGCTCCTCTCCCGCAGCAAATGTCTTAAAGTGTAGATGCTAAATGTTCACCTAGCACACTGATTATATGCCCGTCGTTCTCTTCCTCTCATTGGTTCCTCCTTGCCGGATCCACACCTTATTCTTCGTTCACCCATTCTTGTCCATGTTATTTCATCTAATCTCGTGTCTTCTGCCAAAAGTAGTTCATATATGGTCTTCAGAATATCTTCGGTGTCCAGTACGAGTGTTCCCAAATCTTTCCAATTTGTGGCCAGAAACTCGGTTCTTTCATTCCCTCGCACTCCTGAATATCCGGGACAGTATACCTCCATGGTTCCCTGCAATTTTGGCGTACTGATGCTTGGTATCCATTTATGTTACATTTGTCCATTTTGAACCTTCCGCAGTGCCAACTGAGAATCCGACACAATAATACCTCTGGTAACTTTGTTTTCTGCTATCCAACACAGGGCTGCAGTGATGACTGAAGTTGTAGGAAAAAAAAAAAAACTCCATTCTATTCGTCCACAATCTTTCCCTTCATTCTAGCTGACATTCCTAGATCCAGATCTAGCCCAGATCTTACACCCCGATAAATAGAAACATCGGAGTACACTACTGCATAATCTAGTCCAGCCTTGTCAATTATCATTTGCTGTACCTCTTATTTGGCCATACCGTTAAGCCACTCTCTACCTTCTCTTTCTATCATAATAATGACCTGATGGAAACTACAACAACCCGAATGAACACTAATACATCAATATGCATTCACGTTTACCAAAAACTAAAATATTGCTATTAAAAATTAAAACAAATAAAAATAATTTACCGAACAGTGACATTCTTATATAAGGGTGTTCAACTAACACTCACTGAAAAGTCTCGAAACTTGTAAAATCCCATCTAAGCAACACTCAAAAAAAGCACAAAAAACTTATATACTGAGATCTCAACGGCTTATTAACAAAACAATGGCATTCTTAAAGTCTGATCTACATAACACTCAACACAACATCAACACCCTTATAATAAGCTCCTATTTATTCAACCCACATTTAAAACATCCAGCATGGAAACGTAGGCACCCCTATAGTGAGATCTAACTAGCATTCAACAAAACGTCGACACCCCTCTAGTGAGATCTAACCAACACTCATCAAAATGTCGATACCCTTTTAGTGAGATTTAACCAACACTCATTAAAATATCGACACCCCTCTAGTGGGATCTAATTAACACTCAGAAAGACATCGACATCCTTATAGTGATGTCTAACCAACACTTATTTATGTCATATCATTGTTATTTACTTTTCATAACCCCTTTTCCTTAACCCTGCCACCCGCTACCTCGCTATTTAAAAGCATTCTCCTAATCTTTTCCTCGCTCCTGTTTTCAATGTTTCTTTTCCTAACAGGTTTTCGTGTCCCTATTTTCTCCTGTTACTTATTTTTGATTTTATGCTTCTTTTCTCTCCTGTGATCTTTCCAGTTACAGTCTGTTTGTGTTTAACTGCACCTCAACAAAACATAGACTTGCTGATAGTAGGATAGATACACAGCATCAGATCAACAAAACAGATTGATGAATTACCTGTATGTTTTTAGGTTTGCAGGATCCAATACCACAGTAGGTATCGCCATCATCTTCCTTCTCATCAGGGCAATGATCTTTTCCATGTTCATCTTTCAGTACTTGACACTTAGACTGGTCTGCTGATGAGTCTTTTGTGTCACGTCTGTCACTGACCCCTGCATGAACAGTCTTTTGTTTACGTTCATTATGGTAATTACAGTTACTTTTTGTATTTTTTTGTATCGTGCTATATATATATATATATATATATATATATATATATATATATATATATATATATATAGCACGTTTATAACCATGGGGCGTCGCAGGTCCACCCAGCCTAAAATAGGTTCTATGATATATGTCCTGGGAAAGTAAAGACGACCGGCGAAATGCTGACCACATTACCCACCTAGTGCGGATTGGTGTGTAGAAATATGTTATCGCTCTTCCCATATGCCCGATGCGCCTTAAAGCATGAAAATGGATCTTTACTTTACTTTCATTAACACCTTCACCGACATTATATGTGTAGAGTTGTAAATTTTTAATATTTGTGTATATATATCACTGACACTTGCAGTGATACGTCGGATCCTTGGAAATGAACTAAACATAATATATACTAAACGAATTTTCCCGTCAGAAATAAAGTAAGAATGATTAATCCGTTCCTAGAAGAGGAAAATCTCACTTGACCTTCCTGACAAGAGTCGAGCGGCTACTAGGATGGTACTGAGATGAGAGGAGGGGGAGATACTGTTTGGAGAGGAGGGGGAGATATTGTATGGAGAGGAGGGGGAGATATTGTATGGAGAGGAGGGGGAGATACTGTTTGGGGAGGAGGGGGAGATATTGTTTGGAGAGGAGGGGGAGATGTTGTTTGGAGAGGAGGGGGAGATGTTGTTTGGAGAGGAGGGGGAGATATTGTTTGGAGAGGAGCTGAAGATATTGTTTGGAGAGGAGGGGGGGATATTGTTTGGAGAGGAGGGGGAGATACTGTTTGGAGAGGAGGGGGAGATATTGTTTGGAGAGGAGGGGGAGATACTGTTTGGAGAGGAGTTGGAGATATTGTTTGGAGAGGAGGGGGAGATATTGTTTGGAGAGGAGGGATAGATATTGTTTGGAGAGGAGAGGGAGATATTGTTAGAGAGAGGAGGGGGAGATACTGTGTGGAGAGGAGGGGGATATATTGTGTGGAGAGGAGGGGGAGAATTGTTTGGAGAGGAGAGGGAGATATTGTTTGGAGAGGGAGGGGGAGATATTTGTATGGAGAGGAGGGATAGATATTGTTTGGAGAGGAGAGGGGAGATATTGTTTTTGGAGAGGAGGGGGAGATACTGTTTGGAGAGGAGGGGGATATATTTGTTTGGAGAGGAGGGGAGATATTGTTTTTGGAGAGGAGGGGGAGATATTGTTTAGAGAGGAGGGGGAGATACTGTTTGGAGAGGAGGGGGAGATATTGTGTTTTGGAGAGGAGGGGAGATATTGTTTGGAAGAGGATGTGGGGATTTATTGTTTGGAGAGGAGGGGGAGATATTGTTTGGAGAGGAGGGGAGATATATGTTTGGAGAGGAGGGGAGATATTGTTTGGAGAGGAGGGGGAGATATTGTTTGGAGAGGAGGGGGAGATATTGTTTGGAGAGGAGGGGGAGATATTGTTTGGAGAGGAGGGGGAGATATTGTTTAGAGAGGAGCTGGAGATATTGTTTGGAGAGAAGGGGGAGATATTGTTTGGAGAGGAGGGGGAGATATTGTTTGGAGAGGAGCTGGAGATATTGTTTGGAGAGGAGGGGGAGATATTGTTTGAAGAGGAGGGGGGAGAGATGTTGTTTGGAGAGGAGGGGAAGCTATTGTTTGGAGAGGAGGGGGAGATGATGTTTGAAGAGGAGGGGAGAATGTTGTTTGGAGAGGAGAGGGGGAGATGTTGTTTGGGAGGAAGAGGGGGAGATGTTGTTTGGAGAGGAGGGGGAGATATTGTTTGAAGAGGAGGGGGAGATGTTGTTTGGAGAGGAGGGGAAGCTATTGTTTGGAGAGGAGGGGGAGATGTTGTTTGGAGAGGAGAGGGAGATATTGTTTGGAGAGGAGGGGGAGATACTGTGTGGAGAGGAGGGGGATATATTGTGTGGAGAGGAGGGGAGATATTGTTTGGAGAGGAGAGGGAGATATTGTTTGGAGAGGAGGGGGAGATATTGTATGGAGAGGAGGGATAGATATTGTTTGGAGAGGAGAGGGAGATATTGTTTGGAGAGGAGGGGGAGATATTGTTTGGAGAGGAGGGGGAGATATTGTTTGGA